GATAATAATTGGCAAAGTGCATAAAAATTTTAACAAAACAATCAATAAGCTGTTTTAAGACTATTCAGGTTGGTGATCTAGTCTGAAGACTAGACTAGTTTCATTTCAGTGCTGTTTCCTTTTTTTTTTTTTTAATTCAAGAGCCTGTTTTATTTTTTATTTCCTGGTCTCATTTTTAGAATTCTAACATCGCTTGCTTGTGAAATAGCTTCTTTCACAAATGTAGTAAATCCTACTAGTAAAACCCAAGGAACTCATGCTTCTATTGTGTTGTACAAGAGAAAGTAAAGTCACAAGGCTACACCCCTGACACAATAATAGGTAACAGGGAGGTGATTTCTTAAAGGACATAGTCTTAAGTAATTGGCATATCTGTGATCTCTGGGGACTTCCCAATCATTTCAAGTACTACTGCTTGCACATTCACACTACATTTCAGATTGTACATTAAATGAAGGTTTTGACATGCTCTGTGAGAAGTTCCCAAGAATGTCCATAATCTGTGAAGTGGTTATCACACCTGGGCATGACTGATAGACCTTACCATACTCAGGTGAAGCAGACAAAAGCCTAGACATCAGGGACAGTCAGAGAATCCCAAACTGACTGAAACAAGAAATACATATATATTTCCATTTACGTGCAATAATATTATTTTTTAAATCTACTTATTGGCCTGAAATTCACTTTCTAACTTACACTGATAAAACAAGCATCTGCACATACCAACAGCAAAGACAGAAAGACTGGCATCAGGCCTCTTTCAGACATATCACTAACATGCACCATTCAATTGATGCTTGGTGATTTAGAAAGAATTTTTTTTATTAGAGAAGAGAAGAGAAGAGAAGAGAAGAGAAGAGAAGAGAAGAGAAGAGAAGAGAAGAGAAGAGAAGAGATTTCATTTTTAAGGGACCTAAAATGACCATGTAGTCCAACTGACCAGTTGAGGAATGACCAAAAGTTAAAGCATGTTATTAAGGACATTGTCAAAATACCTCTTACACACCAACAGGCTTGGAGTATTGCCCACACCTACTGGAAGCCTGTTCCAGTGTTTGACCACCCTCTCAGTAAAGAAATTATTCCTATTTTCCAGTCTAAACCTCCCTTGGCACAGTTTTGAACCATTCCCTTGTCTCCTATCACTGGGTTCCCAGGAGAAGCGCTGAGCACCTCCCTCCCTATGTCCCTTCCTGAGGAAGCTGTGGAGACCAATGAGTTTCCCCTCAGCCTTCTTTTCTCCCAACTAAACCTGAAATTCTCAGTTGCTCCTCACAGGCCATGTGTTCCTTCACCAGCTTTGTTGCCCTATGAATGCATTCCAGGACCTCTGCATCCTTCTAAAAAGGTGGAGCCCAAAATCGCACGCAGTAGTCAAGGTGATGTTGCACCAAAGGTTCACCTCATGCTGGTTGCAGCATGGCTTTGAGGGAACAGTGCTGACAGCAGTGGAGATCTGCAGACATCTACAACAGGCTGAATGGAGGCAAGGTGCTTTGTGGCTGGGTCTACCCTGCCGAAGATCAAATTTCTGCTGATGGGTACTACCGACTGACAAGGGATCATGGTGGCCTGGTTCATTCCTCTCAGCAGTGTAAGGACATCAAATACAGTACCCAAACTGAAGTTTTTGTCTCTCTGCTTTGTTGCTCTGTCAGCATACAAGATTTGTGTGTTTCATAATGAACAAAACAGAAAGTCTGTCTTCCTCTGGACAGCATGAATGAAAACCAGAGGAAAGCTCCCTGGCAGTAACTGTTTGCAGCAACAGTGACACCCTGAAACAATATAAGGACCTGTGAGGAAGGATTTTGTTTGTGTCAGTTTAGATGTTCTGTCTTGTTCTCTCAATAACCTTTCTGACTACCTTTGGGTTATTTGATCAATTTAGACAATTATCTCTAATGCATATATATTGTCTTCTGGGAAAAAGAATTTCTACAGGAGCTCTCTAGATAATAAAAAATATCTGATCTTAACCTTTGTCATCATTTCCATTCACTTAAATGTATGTTTAAGCTGTAAAACTGTTTCCCAGCATGCAAAAGACTTGAGTGCCAAGTTATGCTTGCAAATCAGCCATTAAATATGCAGATCCTGTGACATGGAAACTGAAACGTACATTTTACAAAGATATGCTGGCATTTGAACATTTTGTATTTGGGTATTCTTGAACACCACCAGTGTGTATGCTTTTCATCATTCAACTATAAAGCCATTCATCAAAAGGGGATTTTGGTTTTGTTATGTTTTTGGGGTTGTTTTTAACTGGAATGAAAAATAATAGCTCTGTGCAAATTTGGGAAAGTCAATAGGGACGCAGAGCTATAATTGACAGTAAGTACTACCCTGATATTGCTGGGCATGGAGCAGCTAAGGGAACTGGTAATGGTCAGAGCCTCACACTGCATACTGAATGGACCTGTGGTTTACAGTGAACTGATGCTTTTGTAACAGTGCAAGATGATTCATAAATATTAAAAACCAATGAGAATTCATGTTAATACATGCTAACTGAGATGCGGTTTCTTGAAAATGAACTAAAATTAAAGAAAATATTTACTAGCATAATGTATAAAACATTACCCTCACTTTAATGTATAAAATGATTTCCCAACTTAGTTACTGCAGAAATCAAGACCCAAAGTATCACAAAGTTTATTTCCAATGTCTTTACTCCCTTTAGTATGGCTAGGCATAATTCTGTACGTATTTGGTTTCTTAAAAAAGGGAGTCATGATCCAAACCCTGTAAACACTTGGGTTCATCCTTGATACTGCTGAACAATTTGGCTCAATAAGAAATGTCAAGAAATTGAGCCTGCAAAAAGACAGAAGAGGATCTTATTCCTCTGATTCCTGTGAGAAGCTCACTTAAGGAACTACAGGCTCTTACTTTATTTCTACTTCATATAAGAGATTTGGAAAGTTCATTATTCTTCCAGTTCCTCCTTCCTGTAAACCCAGAGCAAGTACCTTTAATCTGGAGGGAAACAAAGAGTTAAAATATAGAATAATGAATTTTTTTGTTCATTCTGAGGATGTATTTTTTTCTATTTAATTTAGCAAGGGTGTTCTGGTTCTAACCAAGACTTGGGTTCAAAATATTTTACCTCCTCCTCTATTTCAGCTGATAGTGAGTGGTAAGCCAGAGTACAGAAGTAACTACTGGAACTACTGAGAGGCCCTGTGGGAGTGCTCCAAAGCCACCTGTGAGGCCAGAGCCACGCTGAATGGCAAAAGGCACTCCACACCCGTTGCTGATGGTTTGGTTCCCAACCATTTGGCCACCATGACCTGCTCATCAAGGCTGCCTGTGGACCCCCACTGGAAGCTGGTTCACACATCCTCTCTCCAGGTAGCCAGGACAGTGTTTAGGAACAACCACTTCATATCCCGGTACCTCCACAACACTCATTCCAGATACCTTTATCTACTGCCAGCTATCCACAGCCAACCCCAGTGTGAGTAAGCATCTTTCTTAGCATCAGTTTGCATCCTGGAACATACCCTTCTACTATTTACTACATCTATTTACTATATGTACTTACGGAGTACGTATGTACACTTACAGAGTCTGCATACTGGAGCATATCCTTCTAGTATTTACTACACATGCTTATCTCAGTGCAACAGCGGTGCTGAAGCACAGCTTGTATATCAGTTGCAGGTTGTGGATCCAACTGCTCGGTCTGCATTTGCTCTCATCATTTATGGGACAATGCCAATTCAAAATCACAAGTCATAAACAGACATATTTACTTGCAGTTGCTAATAGCGCTGTAGATAGAAATAAAGAACTTTTTAAAGCTCATTCATTTCTCTGCAATTAAATTCTCCATTTTTACTTTTTTGCTCTTTATTACTTCTTTCAGTCTAAGCAATGAAAATGTAAAAAGATGTCCAAAGTCTTTTTATATTTATCTGCTTAAAGACAACTTTATCAGGATTTATTTTTAGTTGCAAAGTACTCCTGAGGGCGTCAAGTCCGGTAAAAATCTTCCTTCAGTAACACGTAAATGTTTTCTGGATTTTGTCAGCTGTTTGAGATAAATGTGACCCGCCGATGGTCCTCACCAGCAAAATGCTGCGAGTGGCTTCCATTTGGACCAGGAAGGAAAATCATCTGCTGGCGCCGCTCTCTGTGAGCCACGCTTCTGTGTTAAAGGCACGGCTGAACGCGGTTTTACTACTTTTGACAGGAATAAGTGCAGTTCTCAGCCTCCCGGCTTGTCACTGATGCTTCCCCCAACGAGCCACGCTGATGTGCCGCTGATACGAGGCGTCCAGCTGCCAAAACGCCGGCTGCCTCTCAGCACGCCCAACTTTCGCTTCCCACCCCCGAGCTCCCTCTCCCCGCCGGCTGCCGCGGGACGCGCAGCAGCGGGCGAGCACCGCGGGCGGGCAAGCACCCGGCGGGCAGGCGCCGCGCTTCCCCCGCGCACGGAGCGGCCGCGGCCCCTCGCCGAAAGCGCGAACACACCCCCGCCCCGCCGCCTCCGCCCGCCCCCAGCGAAGAGAAACAAAACACAGCCCCGGCACCGCCACGCTCTCCCTCCTTCTCCTCTCGGCTTTCGGTGGTTGTTTTTTGGGGTTTTTTAAATTTATTTTTCTTTTAATTTTTTTTTTTCCTTGGGGATTCTCCTCTCTCCTGCCAGACTGACTTACACGTTCTTGATAATTCCTCTTCCCCTCATTTTTTATACTCTTCTCCCTGCTTCCAAACCCTGTGTCTGTGTGTTTCAGTACTATCACAACCTCTGCTAAAAATAGATCTTTTTATACCCTTCCTCCTCTCTGACCCCATCCAACACCCCTTGTTAAGGTGAGTTGTGTCTTTTCATCACTTTTTTCCTTGTGTGTTGTTTTTTCTTTTTTTTTGGTTTTGGTTGGTTTTATTGTTATTTTGGTTTCGGGTGTTTTTGTTTTGTTTTTGGTTTTTTTTTCTTTTTCTTGGTTTTTTTTTTTTTTAATTTTTTTTTTTTCCCTTCTCCTGCCAGACTGACTTACACGTTCTTGATAATTCCTCTTCCCCTCATTTTTTATACTCTTCTCCCTGCTTCCAAACCCTGTGTCTGTGTGTTTCAGTACTATCACAACCTCTGCTAAAAATAGATCTTTTTATACCCTTCCTCCTCTCTGACCCCATCCAACACCCCTTGTTAAGGTGAGTTGTGTCTTTTCATCACTTTTTTCCTTGTGTGTTGTTTTTTCTTTTTTTTTGGTTTTGGTTGGTTTTATTGTTATTTTGGTTTCGGGTGTTTTTGTTTTGTTTTTGGTTTTTTTTTCTTTTTCTTGGTTTTTTTTTTTTTTAATTTTTTTTTTTTCCCATTTAGGGCAGGTTTAAGGGAGGAGGGGATGTGGAGGAGATAATTTCATGGGGAGTCAGGCAAAGCCTTATTTTGCCTTCTGCAGCCTCAGCATCATTCCGGACTGCTCCCTTTTATCCCAAGGATGTAGCTAGCTGATGAAAGTGGGGAACTACTCTTCCTTAGCGCTGCGTGCTTGGGAGCCACAGCAACAGCAGGAAAAAAACCAAGCTTCTCCTTTTTCCTTCGTCCTACCCCCCACTCCCTTCCTCATTCCCTCCTCCTTGCTGTGTCTTTTATTTGTTGTTTATTTATTTTTTTAATATCTTGGTGGGATGTTTGGTTGGGATTTGGTGGTGGGTGGTTTCTCTTTTTTTTTAATTTGTTGTTTTGGGGTTTTGTTTTTTGTTTTTTTTTTTTTTTTTAATTTTTTGTTTTGTGGTTTTGTTTTTTGTTTTTTTTTTTTTTTTTAATTTTTTGTTTTGTGGTTTTGTTTTTTGTTTTTTTTTTTTTTTTTAATTTTTTTTTTTGGTGTTTTGTTTTTTGTTTTCTTGGTTTTTTTTTTCTTCTGTGTGTGTGCTTGGTTTCTGTTTTGAAGCAATACCCAGGGGACTTGGAATGAATTGCATGCAGTGCCAAGGGAGCTCTGTGTGTGTGCACGTGTGTCTTGAGAGTGAGTGTGTGCAAAGTGCATTTGTATTTTGTGTTCCTGGGATGATGAGAGTTAAAGCTACCAAACAATCCCTGTACACAGAACAAGGAGCACAGCAGGGACTGCTGAGGGAGGAACTGGTCAGGGATGCAGGAAAGCTACAGAGCTCTCCACAGAGTTCAGACCCTTGTGCTCCAGAACATCCTTCCATAGATCATTACTGGCACCTTCAAGGTGATGGCTCCCATTCCTCTCCTGGCTTCTCAGCAGAAGAGTGCAGAAAAGGAAAACTTTACAGCTAATGAGAAAGGATAGCATTTCTGTTCCTCCAGCAGCCCGAGACAGTGTTATTCCAGGGATGAGTGGGGAAGATACAGTCGTGATCCAGAGTAAATGGATCGTTTGCTGTAACATATTAGTATTCAGTGAGAAAAAGACACATGAAACATTATCAGTTTGGTCAGCCAGCAGAAGCATTGGAGTCCAGCTTACTTCCCAATTCCAAAGTTGTTTTAGACTGTTTTTCATTCTTCAGAAAACTGTGCCTATTGATGGCAGAAATGTGTTTTTACGGTAAAACAGTCTATTATAAATCTGCTGGGGAACGATTTATTATTCAGAGGCAATCAGGTAATTTATATGTTTCATGGATTTCGCCCAAGTCTTTTAGTGTGCCTTCAATTATGTATTTTACCTATGTGTGTGAAGCGGGGTAATATAGATTTTAGTTGCATTTTAACAAGGTGTTAAGGCATAACTTGCAGGGTGCCATTTGCATAGTGTCACTTAATATGAAGCAAAATAACAGCCTCTAGCTCTTTTCATGGATTTTTCACATCTCTCTTGTTTGTTTCAAAACAAGTGGCTATTTTGCTTAAGAACTTGTAAGGAAAACTGGCTTCACAATGGTACACAGTTTCAGATATTAGCTCAAAAGTATTAACACTTGTCTGGCTGCGAGACTTGAATTTACTTATAAAATACAAACAAAAAGTACATGAAAGAGCACTTGGTATGTATGGTTTTCTAACAGGTTGCATCATATTTGTATCTAAAAGTTTACAAATTAGCTAAAATGGTTGTTGTAATCTGTGTTTGGAGGCCTTCATGGATACAGGAACATTAATGTTTCCTGTCTAGTTAATGCAATTCCAAAATATCCTGTCTTTCCACATGCTGCATAGATAACACTCAGTAAAAATGAGCAGTCATGAAAATAGTCTTGTGCTATCAAGGGACATTTCATCATTTCTTGTTAGCCTAAATTAAAATATTTTACACAAGTTTGCCTTGGAATTTTTTTTTCTGCTGTGGCTGGCTGATTGTGAAAGTGGGAAGCATGCTTTGAGTGAGATGTGACATTCCTAATGCTTGATATCTGAGAGGGGAGAGACACCTGATGTGCTGTGTACATTATTCTTGAAGGGTAAGAAAAAGGGATGGAAAACGAGTACAGTGCGCTGGCAGTTTAGATAAATAAATGTGGGTGATGCATGTTAGCTTGTCATCTGCGGTTCTGCTGAACCCTGACTGCTGGCTAAACATATTTTCTTGGTAAGCACTGCAATGTGATACAATTTTTCTGGTTTGATAGAGTTTGCTGTTAAAATCACATGTAGCCCAGAACAGTTCTTGTTCAGTAGATAAAAATCATGCCACCTCGTTTTAATCCACAGAAGGCTGAAATATCCACTACTCCTACTGAAGTCACCAGGAGTTACCTGTGATCAGCACTCTTCATGATATTTTATCTCACCATGTCAGGATTTAGGATATTTCCAAAGGATGCTATTGTCAGCAGATCTCATTTTGTTTAGATTTTACTTCAGGAGCATATTGTATGTTTACAGGTAGATATTGTCTTTTACCACAGCAACACTAAAATGTATCAGGGAATGGAAAACTCTAAACATTGTTTTTCTCAGGAGCCTTTAAAGAGAATTCTCCTGGTGTCCTTTAACTGTTTCTGGAAAAGCAGTGCTCACTTGAAAATCTACACACTAGGAACCTTTAGTTGGTTGCTTAGCTGTTGGTGAAAAAAAAAAAGATGGAATGTTTGTACACAAAAAGAGCAAGTCATGTGTTTGGAGTTTTTTAATGACAACTGAAAGACAGGAGTGCTTTCAGCTGGGTATGACAGTGTTGAAGCAAGGTTAATGTTGAGTTTGATCTGGGGGTTGTTCCCATTGGCATGAGTGACAGCACACCAACACTTAGCTTATTCTGTAATGTAGTAACCTAGATTAAACATCTCTTTAATTTATATTTTGAGATTTGGATATGGCATCAAACCTTGGATTTATTCACTTCTAAAGCCTTTTCTGTTTGTTTGTTTTGTGTTTGTTTTGTTTTTGAAACAAGTATTTTAAAGCTGTGAACTTCTATAAACAAAGTAATGGAGTGTTCAATAGTCACTCCAACTTTGTGGACCTTATTGCTGTGAAAGTAAAGTGGGATTTCTCTCTACTGCTAACCAGCTGAAATTATTTTCTTCTATTATTGCACCTTGTTATTCTGCTGTGTGAGTCTAATATTCTTAGTCAAAGGAGTTTTTTATTCTGTGGATGTGGTGGTTCCACAAAAGAAGAACATGTGTATTTTGTCTTGTCCTATATTAGAAATACCCATCAGGTTCAGTGACATTTTGTTGCAGGGCAAAGTTGCTGTTTCATTTGGGTATACTTATCAAGGAAACTGTGTTGATGATGGACTTTCTTAGAGTTTTAACAAAGTAAATGAGAACTGTCACAGGGCTGCCTGGTAATTTTGGGGCTGGGGTGCAGTGGTTTTGTCTGTATCCACGCAGAATGCCATTATGATCTACATTAAAAATCAGTAGCATGTGAAAATATTAATCCATTTTTCTCTTTAGATACCTCTTTCTTTACTAGTTTTAAAATGGTGTGTTTCCATCCGAGTATATATTTGTTTTTAAGGTGTTTAGATAAATGATGTTACCTTAAGCAAAGATGACTATTTATTTTGTCTGCTGGAAATACAGTCTTTATAATAAAATAGGTATTTTTCATCTGTTGTACTTGCTTGTGCATAGAAGAAAATTAGTATTTTCCTCCTGGGAAATTTGTTACTCTGAAGATCCAGATGCTGAACACATCTACTAGCAGTTCCCTTCCCAGTCTTGGTGCACATGGATGAGTGTCAGAGGTAACAAGTGCTCAGGCATGGCAGGGAAAGGAAGAGGGTGGCTCTCTGCAAAGCCGGGTGGGGGTCTAATGATCTGCTGCTGCAGTGGCCGAGTTGCTCAGGGCTAAGAGAGCAAAGTGCTCCCTCCCCCTTAATGGTATAAACTCCTCTGTCTTAGGGTTTGCATTCATCAGGCTGCTTGGTTTTCCCTTTATTAGATAGGGACGACTAAATTACAGTCTGGTAGCGCTAACACAGCTCTCTGATGACTACTGTTTGTAGGAGATCAAGTGAAAAGTATTTCTGGACAGGGGTCTCCAGCTAAAGTGGTTTTTTGTGGTATGTTTTTATTTACTCCAGTTTTCCTCGGATTTGCATCCAGCTATTATTCCCTACTTGCCCGCGTAGGCTGGAGATTGTTTTGTGTACGGAAAGTGTTTGTAGGAAAGGGAAAAGAATGTTATTGTTAACTTTAGACAACGCATTGTAACTGCTCCATCAATTCCAACCAAATGCAAGAAGAGCTGTGGCATTGGAGCTAAAATGTTCCAAATTTGCTTGATATAAATATGGTATTTCATGTCTCGTGAGGAGAGATACCTTTTTAAACATAATTCAAAGGGATTGCATTTTTCGGAGTGAGTTTTACTCTAAGTCCCAGCGATCACTCATGTCCCAAAGAATCTGCTAGGAGCAGCCCAAGTAATTGCAGGTTAATGTGGGGTGTGAGACCGTTCCTCCTACTCAATCCACTGCTGCAACTCCATGCTGGTAGATGGGCACCTGTTCCAGCACAGCCATTGTATCAGTGACAAAACTTAAATTTTATATAATGCACTATTGATTCCTGCTAGCAGCAAGGCTTTTAACAAGGAGTATGAATCCAAAAATTTTGATTATGGATCTTGCAACATCTGACTTTGTCATCTATGCATTAGATATATTTAGATGCTGTGAACACTTAATCCAAGGAAGCAAAATGCCTGTCTTCTATTAATGACAGAAAAAATGCTTAATTAGTTCATTCATTTGGCCTTTTGAGGTGTAGATGGCTCAGGACTA